GAAGTGGCCGCCATGCACGTAGCCATACGGGTGTGCTGAAAACATGCACCCTACCGGTAGGGGCATATTGAAAATTTTGGTACTGGTACTCAACGGCTATCTGGCAGGGGCATACTGCAAATTTGGAACGGGTACGGTAGGGGCATAACAAAAACATTTCAGGCCCGCTGGGGTTTTATGGGAAATTTGAATCGTGGTCAGAGGGGCACGACAGGGTAAGTGGGACGTCGGAGGGGCGTGATGCAAAATAATGGAAATTACAGGGGTGCCAGACACATTTTCCCTTTGTTTTTTTTTGGCTGGGACCTTCCCTGGTCCTTGGACGCCGGGCCGCCTGGGGAAACAAGGTAACCCGGGCGGCCCGGCTGGTAGCCTATACTACTGAACGGCCACCAATCCAGACCGTCGGGTTGCTAGGACCATCGACTGATGAAGTTTCGCTTATACTACTGGCTGCCAATTTCGGCAACAAGCCCCGTAGGACCTCCGAGCGCCATGCTGAACCTCTCCACACGTTAGTGGGTTCATAGTGGTGGGGATCAACCAAGCACGTGTTTACGAGAAGCAACTCTGGACAAGTATTTACAACCGTCAAAGGATGGTAGAGCAGACGTAGACAAGATCCTTGCTGCTGCAGCTAATGAGAAATCAGGGGCTACTGTGGCTACATGCAAAAGGAGGAAATACATCCCCTCTGTAAACGCACAAACGAAAAAGACACGGCATATTATCAAACATTGCTTACCTGCTGAGAAGTATATCGGGACTTTCAGATTCATTTGCTCCCAGAATTCATCCAGCAGAATGCACAGCTCCTGTCATCATTGATCATGGACCAATTTGACACAAAAGACAAGGGCCCAACTCCCCCCGGACCCTCCCCCTCCCCCCCTCGCCCTCCATGCCCAGTCCCTTCCCCCCAATCCCTCAATACCCAGTGATGTAATTGTACACAACGTAAGCGCACGTATGGTAGGATCACAAGAGTATCAGTTCCATTCTGATACAGCATACTTCACAGTGTTCACACCAGCTAATTCCAAGGCAGACTTCAAAGGTATAAATAAGACTCCGAGTATATTCTTCTTGCCTTTAACACAACTTTTAACTTGATTGAAGTGCACTACATAGTACATAGTACATTGTGAATTACTGATGTCATTTTCCTCTTGTCATTCACTGCCTTTCTTTATTGCAGGTCAAGTGTGATCCATCCCATCTCTAGATATATGCTATGCCTGCATGGTTTTACACAAAAGACACCTGATGAAAGGCAATGGATGCATCTCTAGGATAAAAAGTTCATAAAATTATTATTTGGAAGAACATTCTTCAGAAATAACCAGGTATCTAGAGATGCATCCATTGAAGTTGGATGCCCGTCACAAACTACCGTCTTCCCCCGAATAGAACGTACAATCATTACCGTCTTCACCCAAATAGACTGAAAGTTTGCCCATGTACAGCTATAATGGTCATGAGTTCTATTCGGGGAAAGATTAACTTCAGCCTCAGAGACTTTACGTGATACATCTCGCTTGTTTTATTAATGAGACAGAAAGAAAGTGAAAAGCCACTCACTTTGCATCTTCAGTTCTATTTTGCTTGCTGGATTGATCAATGCTGCTGAGGCCGCCTTTTACCGAAGTTCCGTGTTACACTGGCACTTCAAAAAAGTTACGTGTATGCCAATGCCCCATAGGTTGACGACTGACTCAATGCGGTCAGTACGGGAGTGTCAGCTAGCAAATAACCATATTATTTGGAAATAACTATTCGGGCCGAAGCTGTACATATTGCTGGATGGGTCGTCGGGTCGTGTAGGGCCACGCCATCTGGTCTCTTCCAAAATCACCTCCTTCACTCAAGACTCGGTTTCTCTTCAAAAGGATATGTGATCGGAGACTGTTGAACACAAAAGGCAGTGTTTTTTTCTACTTTTTCTCAGCGCAATAACCAGGTAAATTGTCCAGAAGGATATTAGGTGGGTTGGATCTATTCCCTCTTCCCATAACCATTCCCCCACATCCTCTACTTTTAACTTCCAACTTTAAAGACCACTCCATGGGCTCCACATCCAAGCACTTGATCGCGATCAGTGGTTGAAAGACTGTAAGCAAAGAAGAAGGTCCCAGTAACAACTGTGCGGTCAAGCAGCAGCGAGTACGAGAAGTCAGAGTGCTCGTGGATTTGTTTCATAGGCGGCTGAAAATAGATTTAGGGGAAAAAAGCCTGCCAGCCCTCCACGGTAGCTGAGCCATGGGAATGGAATATTTTGACCATGTGCACAGTGCGTGGACACTCCAGAGATTTCTTTTGGTGATGCCCACTGCACACGGCCTTGGTCACACAATGCACACCGTAAGGGACCAGCAGCCGATGTATGGCCCAAGTACTTGCGGTCTAAGGGAGTGATGATGGGTATCAGGATCAACAAAGGAGCTTGTGAATCATTTCTGTTTCTGGGAAAGGGTGCGGCAAGGTGGACGGTCGACAGTTTGGGGGGGGTGGAGGAGACGTTGGCAGGGTGGCATAGTGCAGTCGCAGTCACTTAGCGCATACTCGTTCTACATAGACTTTTGTGGATACCTCTCTCCGCAAGCATGGCCAAACTCAGTCAAAGAAAATCGAGGTGTAACTGGAGTACACTGGTTGGGGTGATCTTTTTCTGCCAAGTTAGACTCTGAGGTATGTGGGGAAGGAGGCGGGGGGAGGGGAAGGGGGGGGTTGGTCTCTCTCTCCCCGGCAATGGGGATCAAGCCACATATAGGAAACATACCTGTGCTCGGCCAAGAGCAAACACTGGAATCAGAACCTTTCCGCTTTTGGAAACGCATGAGTAGACCTGGTTCGCACAAACACAAAGGCACCACAGAGGAGAGGCCCTCAGATAGACAGAAGACAGCAGGGAGGCTGACAACGTGGACACTTAAACTCGTTCTTTCCAACCACTGTTCAGGAGGATCAGACGGCCACAAAAAAAGGAATCTGGATAAATAGGACCCTTTTTGCCACTGGGCCACTCCTCTCAACATTAAACCAGCAGTACCACGGAGTCACGGACCTTCCGTTGAACCCAAATTTTCCCGCTTCCAAAGGAATGGAACCGGTTGTCCTTCGGGACATCCGTTAAAATTGGAAGAATACAGAGAAAGAAGATTAGCAAGGCCCATGCGCAAGGATGACACACATAAATTGAGAAACAAATTCAAAACATCCAAATTTAAAATTAGAAAAGCAAAAGGGAATGGAACCGGTTGCTACAAGGTCGGTTTCCAGCAAGCGTGGACTCAGCGTCTACGGGCACAAGTTGTCGTAGAAAGGTCCCAGTACTGGTGGTTCAAAGGTTCTGTGACTCTGTCATACCATCTTGCTCCCACTTTGGTGCTCCCTGTCAATCAGACGCTCCATCAGCAAAGGTCATATAACTTTTTCACGAAACATGTTCCCCGCATTTGCCCGATCTATGTCTATCAGTATCCTCCTGCTGCAACAAAACGGCTCACAAATGAGCTGATGCTGTTTCCTTTCTTTGGTACTTGTTTTGTTTTCTTTCTTTGGTTCTTTGAACTTCTTTCTTGTTTTGTTTTTAAAGGGCGATGACCTTGAGATTTCATCATTAAACTGACCGGCCCCAGGTAATTCAGAATGATTGTATTCTAGTCATCTGAATGTGTCTGGATTCGGACTTGTGTCTTTATTTCAACAGTTTGTGGGTGTACCAACTGAGCTACTTTGGACAATTTCTCAAATTATGCGCATAATTCTGGTACAGGCGCCATGCTAATCTTCTGTGTATCATTCCAATTTTAACAAATGTCCCGAAGGACTTCTTTACTTCTTCTTTTGTTTCTTTTTTTTGCTTCTTTCTTTGCCCAATAACGGGGTAAATACATAGCATTACCGTATCATCAGTATGTAAAGTTTTCAAGTTGAACAACTGAGCTACTTTGGACAATTTCTCAAATTATGCGCATCTGTCTCTTATACACATCTAGATGTGTATAAGAGACAGGGGTAAATACATAGCATTACCGTATCATCAGTATGTAAAGTTTTCAAGTTGAACCATACTTGCAAGCGGACGCCGTCCGGGCGGTTCCGCATGTGCAGCAGACCGCCGGACCGGACCCGCGCGGCGCACGAATGTGCACCCGACGACCAGTTATGCCCCACCCCCCCCCCCCAAAAAAAAAAAAACGCCCCCGTCCGGTCTGGTCCGGGTCCGTCTGGTCCGGGGGGAGGGTGCCGCACGCGGCAAAGCGGACCGGACCGGACGCTCGTCCGGTCCGTCTGCTTGCAAGTATGAGTTGAACTCATGGTAACAGAGTACTTACTGCATAAATCACAGAGAGACAGCAGCTGGATGGACGGATGGTCGGATGGATGGACAGACACGAAGACAAGGAAGTCTCAATGCCACTCTCTAAACACGTGTTCCATCATCCATGTCATCCTGTAAATCCCACCCAAACGAGAAGAAGGAAAAGAGACTGCAGAAACAGCGCCCCTTCCCCCCCCGCTTTCCAACCCTTTTCTAGGTCTTTTTTTCCCAGATTTCTCAGGATGTGAGCAAACCTCCTCCTGTGGAAAACTTTTATTTATGAATAAGAATGCAACTAAAAGTTCTTAGTACTTTTTACGTAACTTACCGCATTAAGAAATTCTCGTTCCCTTGCTTTCTTCGAATCTCGTACTGTCGTTGCATAAGTCGACCTGCACACGTGACACACCATCACATTCTCTCTCCTCATTCCCTCACTTTCTTTTTCTCTTCTCTTGTTTTACTTCTCCAGAAACCAAAATCTGCTTACCCAACAAATTACTCGCTTTCTTTGAATCTCATTCTATCATTATTGTTGAATAGGATCGCCATATTATCTCCTACCACCTCATGCATACCGATTGACGAGAAATGTCCCATGTCTGAAGCTCGTCTCCTTAAAGTACTTTTCCTATGACGGCGGTCAACGAAATTGGATGGGAATACTTTAAATTTGAAACGGTCGTGTCCAGAAGGGCCTACTGGGCCGTAAACATCACACTAACACTCTTGTGAGGGTGCCTGGGTCCCGAAACGTCTTCCCAGGTGCCCCCCTTTTGTAAAAAATCCTTTACTCGGGTCCCGGCCTGGACATTCTGGACCGGACGACGGACCCGAGCAGTCTGCATCAGTAGGCTGAACCCCATATGTATGTAGTAAACAGCCTGTCACAGGCCACGACAGACCGTTTCATCCAATTCCCACCCACTCACCGCACCCTCTTGATGAGCCCGTATACGAGAGATGGTTAATGGAAGGCCCAAAACTCGGGGATTTTCGCCGCATCACCGCAAGCAATGTCATCGAAAATTTCACGAACAAACAAAATTTACAACCAAAAAAAAGGCAAAAAAAAACGAAAAACAAAAACTCAAAAGCACTGTAAAAGTTCATAATACAACGGTATTAAAATTTAAAACCCTATTCGGAGTAGCTTTCGGAGTTCGCCAAATTTTTCTCTGCATTCTGTGTTTTTGCTAACTTTTTCATTACTAGTCCGAATACGTCGAAACTGAATACAGATATACCCTAAACCACATAGTATGTATGTGCCACATACATATCACACATTATAGAGCAAAAATACTGGGAAATATGGCAGTTTCGGTGAAAAATTCACCGAAAAAATGACACCACCTATCAAGTTAGTACCTTACGGTCCACTAGCGCCAGACAGTCGGGAGAGGCTGGATACCAGCTTCTGCAACTAACCAGTAGGGGGGGGGGTTGTGTTAGCTGCAGAGGCTGGGACCCAGACTCAGACCCCGAGGCAGAGGGACACAGTCGACTGGGACCCAAACACGGCCTTCAGAAAGTGACAAAAGAGGGGAGGCCATGACATTCCACACATTCGCAGGCACTGGCTGCCAGTGCTTGCTCTGCTACAACGCACCGCTGCCAGGCTAGCACTGATTGAGGAAGGAGGTCAGGAGCAGCCAGGGCAAGCTCCTCCACCCAGAGGCAGCCATAGCTGCGCTGGGAGGGGGAAGAGAGGTAGCACCTTGTCTGGGTGATCGGGGAGAGGGACGGCAGATGGGACCGGCGACACTTACCTGGTGCTGGCCGAGGAGCACTCGAGCAAGTCATAGTCTTCACCATCATCTGGCAAGTGGAATGTGGACAGAGAGAGTGTAAGGGAGAGAAGTAGGAGGCGTATAGAGAGAGTAGGGAGGTGGTATAGGCAGACACATTATAGTAGGGATACTACATTGATGTTGTATAGATTATGGGAGGCAAGAAGTGGGGCTTTCTGGTCAGAGTCTTCGGCATCATCTGACGAGAGGAATGTGGACACAGAGAGTGTAAGGGAGAGAAGTAGGTGGAGAAATAGTATAGCCACATATTAGCCAGACCAATTGTAATAGAGACACTACATTGATGTTGTATAGATTATGAGAGGCAAGAAGTGGGGCTTTCTGGGCAGAGTCTTCGGCATCATCTGACGAGAGGAATGTGGACACAGAGAGTGTAAGGGAGAGAAGTAGGTGGAGAAAGAGTATAGCCACATATTACCCAGACCAATTGTAATAGAGACACTACATTGATGTTGTATAGATTAATGTAGGCGAGAAGTGGGGCTTTCTTGTCAAGAGAAAGACTTCAGTGTCCAGAGTGTTCACATTTGGTGTGCTCTTGGCTTAGTAATTCTGCTTTCAACTCTGCTCACATGTGCTTGCAGCGCGCAAAAACGAAAAAAAGGAAAAAGAAAAAAAACAAGGGAAAAATGAATTCGTTTTTTTCTTCCTTACAAGACTCCCCCTGTTCAGAACCTCTTGCGTACAAGGCCGCCCACGTGGATGTAGGTTGAGCGGCGGCTGCCCCCACCCCCGTGTGTCATATCGACCCACTTGCACACAGCCAAAGGCAAAGAGGCAAAGAAAGAGGAAGGGAAAAGCCAAATATAACAAAACAGGGGGAAACAAACATAAACAAATCCTAGATGACAAGTCCCACAAGCAAGCACCGCCCCCTCCGTCACAGGCCAAACAACGGGACAAGACCAACCAGGATATCAAAACACCCTTGCCTGCAAACAAGCAATCCCAGATAACATTATATATATATATATAACCTGTAGTCTGTAGAGTCTTCCGTCTGGTGTGGGTGAGTGATAGTCTACTTCGATTTTGTCCCTGGTACCCTTGAGGGCAGTGGTTGGTACTCACCTCAAGGTATCAGTTGTGAACATTATCATCGTTTAAGGAGCTCTGCAGCTGTGTAGAGGGTTCAGAATCCTGATTGGTCCGTGAAACTGTAACAAAACAGCCTGTCACAGCCCTCAATTCCTTGTTGTTCTTTTATATGTTTCTGTCTACAGTTCAGACGGCCTATTGTGGCTTCGCCTGCAAAAGCACACAAAGGGAATAATAAACTATCCTATCATTTCCCATATTCAATTCCCAAACTTTTCTTTGCACAGTAGAGTAACCCCGTTGCAGCTTCACCCACCAAATAAACTATCCTGCAGATGGCTTGGAGCATCTTAAACTGTTAAGATCACACAACGACCCAGGCTGTCTGCCAGTAGGACGCGATTGTGCGGATTCAAGATTCGTGACATTCGTGCTACGATCCAGGTTGTGGCCTGGTAGGACAGCGGATGGATGGGGTGTGATATACTGTCGCATGTCCATCAAGTGGCATCAACTAAAAGAGCACACTTCACAAAACAAATGAAGAAATAAGCGGACAGCATGAGGCGCACTGGCACCGTTCACCTGCACTTTTCTGTGCATTCCTTTGTTTTCTTTCTTTCTTTTGCTTGTTCATGGTTTCCCATGATCTATATGACAATATATATATAGGCCACAATAGTTTTCTCACTCACTCTGTTATGAAGAGATCCGGTCGCAGTCGATCCACGGTGGCAGAGCCCATATGACGATCAGGAGTCACATTGTAGTCACCTGTGTACATTACGCTTTCGCCATTTACCCTCACATAGAACATTGCAGCGCCAATTACCTACCCATCCCACCAAATCAAGAAGAAAACAAGTCATCATACGGAAAGAACACGGACTGAGAGAAGCACAACCGGCAACTTGACTTTTTCTGTTTCTACCCTGCACTTTAGGAGATGCACAAAAGAAAAGTATATGTTGCAAACTGACACAAAACTGTGTTTACGACTCCTTTGCTTTGTTGCAGCAAGGAGGACAGTGTTATGTGAACTTATATCACATGAGTAGAAACACGAGTGGCTGATCGACCAACATATCAATCATGCTGGACATTGATCAATTGAAAATCTGCTTCCACTCGGTAGGCACACAAAAGGAACGGGCTCAAAGGAGTCGTACATAGAAAATTGCATTGGAGGGCACCGACAACCTTTAATGCTTAAGAATGACTGATATACAAAGGAGGAGGGCAGTAGCAACTGCTGCTGCCTACTTCCTCCTCTGTGCTGAGCGAGTGACCAGAAAATTAAAATTTCATAAAATCTATGTGATAAAGCATATAAAGCCACCAACGGGCCTAGCTCAGTTGGTACACCCTTAAAACTGCTGAAACACAGACCCAAGTTTGAATCCACATACCGTCGAATGAACAGAATAAGAGGATTCTGAATTACCTGGGGCCGGTCAGTTCAATGGTGATATCTGAAGGTCGTCACCATTGACAGAAAAATGATAAAGCCATAAGCGTATCTCTCATTTTCGGCCAAAGGTTCAGAGCAAGAGAAGGAGAACAAGGGGTACCTTGTGCACTCAAGAGAAGGGCACAAGGCCATTATACCAAGGTACAGCCTCGAGGAAGGGAAGGCCCATGACCCAGCAAAGCCTCATGAGTTCCACCTTGGAACTCCCGCCACAAGGCCAAAAACACAACCCCGTGCCCATCAAATGAGTTCAGACAAGCCTAAGCCTAACAATGGAAGAGCCACATGATGGGACTCACGGATAAGGCCAAAACAATGGCCTTGGACAAGGATGAGGTGCCAAGATGGGGCCTTGCAACCAAAATGCCAAGCCCCAACTTGGGACTGAGCCCCGCGACCAAAGGAAGAGAGTCTTGGGCTGGGCCAATAGGAATTGTCTCGCTTGCCAGCGCAAGTTGCTCTCTAGGAAGAAACCCTGGTCAAGTCCAAAACTGGCCTTGACATTAATGAATTGGGCCTCGGACTAAGTCCAAGGTTGAATTCGTTGATTTCATCTTTCCCAAGACCAAAAACTCCACTTCGCTCAGTTGGTTGAGTACACAAGTTGTATTCAGGAGGTCGTCGGTTCGATTCCCTACATCGTCCATTGATCAGCGTGGTTCCCTGTGAAATGCTTCGGGTTCACCAGTGGAGATAATTGGCTTGGGCCTCCCCAAGCTGGTTGTGGAAGTGTGTCCGTGCATACCAGCCCGGGTGTTAGGCGCCAGGGTACTGCACCCCGCATAGACCAGAGTTGAGCAGAAGGCTGGGATTCACTAGGGAGAATGTTGCGAGGCTGGGAACCCAACCCATAACCCTTAGCGTCCCATGCTGAGACGGTGCAAATATATGAGGAAAATTTTGAGAAAAAAATATATATACAGCTGTCCCCCAATGAGGAGGAGACAGCTTTTTTGTGGAAAAAAAATGCAAAAAAAAGATGGGCCACCGCCCAATTTATATTGCCTTCCTCCTTTGTCAAAAGCTAAAGGTCCGCCTTCAAGGTGTGCCTAGATCACTTCCTAAGTGTCTGGGCACCACTCCATTTATTTTATTCCGATGCACTTCACGGCTATGGGAGTGAAGAGAGCCCAAGCTCACAGACTGGAAAATCATCTCGGATCCGTCCTAGGACTTCCTGAAAATCGAGTTTTTGGCAGTCCCAACGTAACAATCTATATCTGAGGCAGAACCTGGAAAGTAAGTGGAGGAAAAGCAAGCCCAAGAAGGAACCTGCCAAGTAATCGGGGCCAAGTCCACTCCAAAATCTAGATTTGTAATACAAGGGAAGTAGAGAAAACCCAATGTGCGCCTTCAGGATCATAGAGTCGCCAACTTCCTTCTTTGTGAAGTCTGCTGGCCAACCCCTCTTCAAAATCCTTTGCACTTGAATGAACTTCCCAACGAGGCAACGGCAAGGGTTCGGGCAGAAAAAGCAAAGAAATGTGTATAGGCCGGAATAGGCCTACAAACATGCGTTCGACGTGAAATTCGCCCGTCAGACAAAACGAGAAGAACCAGAAAATGAGAGAAATGAAATGGAGGGAAGCTAGAAACATTCCTCCAAAGGCAAAAAATGTGCCCTTCATCAACCAAGATCAAAGGATGAGGCTGTCTGCGGCGAAAGAAAACTTCAGATAACGAGAAAATAGAGAAAAGGGACAAAAGAGTGGAGGGGTAGAAAAGGAGGCGCAGAAGCCAAGAATATTTCCTCTTGTGAGAAAGATGGGCCCTTGATCTGTCGAGATCAAGGATAGGGCTGTCTGTGGTAGAATGCTACCTCAAACAAACAAAAAGCAAGAACAAACAAAAGAAACGAAAAATAAAAGCAAAGGGAAACCAGACTTCCCTCAGAGCGACAGAAATGGATCCTTGATCATCCAGATCACCGACAGGGCAGTCCAAATATGAAGACACTTGTGCAAGTGTTTGCACAAATGTCCGTGCCTCCGTAGACCAGTGTGAGGTAATTTCTTCCACAGACGGTCCCCCATTTCCCAGAGCTAGGCAAAGGGAGAAAAACAAGACACTGGCTTATCTTTTCACCACGGTGATTCCCATAACCATAGCTCCCTGTTGTCTTTCCTTTAAACCACCACTACCTTTCCCAGGCAACACCGAGAATAAAAAATGTAACATTCCACATTCCGGGTTCTTTGGAGGCTTGGGGTCACCAGACCAGTGGGTGCCACAAGATTTCTTTGATATCAACGTCTTCATGGTGTGTGCCCTTGGACTCTCCTCTTCTATTAAGGGTTGAGACAACACTAAAAAAGAAAAGAGAGAAAGGGAGAGAAGGTGAGTGAGGAGAGCTCAAGGTAAATCAAAGCATAACGTGCTCCTGTTTCAAAGGCACAGATGTACCACAAGCAAGCTGGTCCAGAGGAAAATGGACAAAATGGGGAGAAAGACGAGAGGGAGAGAGAGAGGAGGTGGTGAGTCAGACCAGACAACCCCTCCGAAGGCAAAAATGGGCCCACAGGAGAGGTATGAAAACACTTGTGCAAGTATTTGGACAAGTGTGTGCGCCTCAACGGACTACTCCGATGGTTTCTTACTACGGACAGTCCTCCCTTGCCCACACTTAGGGAAAGGAGAGACGTAGGGAAAAAACACAAGACTCTGGCGTGTCCTTTCGCCATTGTGACTCCCATAATCATGAGAGGCCCCTTGCCTCCAGATCCTGCTGCAATCCTGCTATAAAGGAAGGGGGAGCCACTTGTTCAACACACTGCAGGTGATCCTACTTTTCCGATTTGTCGTTATGTTCATCTTCAAAATCATTTTGAAACAAATGGTCCAATTGGAGAGATTCTGTGCCTAAAATCTACAGTGTGAGCCCAAGATTTGGAAGTGCAAGGTCGTCGGAACACTAGATTGAGAGAAGAGAGGGGAGCCTATAGAATTTGAGGTAGTGGTCCAACAGTTGAGAGTGTGAGCGTGAAGGGACGCTAGATTGAGAGAAGAGAGGGGACCCTACTTAATTTGAGGTAGGGGCCTTCGCTAAGGGGAGGTTCTACTTGGAGGCTGGGCTTGAAGGTTCTAGCTGGAGGCTCTACCTAGAGGATGGACTCTCCTTAGGGAATGGAGGTGGGACTCTACTTGCTTGAGACGGGGTTTTGCTTGGGAGAGACTGCTTGATGAGGAGGAGACCACCAAAGTGAAGAAAGGGAACATTTTATTAAAGGTGGGAAAGAAGAGCCAAGTTATGTCTACGAGAGGGATGACGGTACTACCTCGAAGAGTGGGAGATATATGACCTGGTAACTCGCTACTCGTGCTATTGGGAGAGACCGTCTCGAGGGGTTGGAGTTGAAGAAAATCTTATGTGGGGAGGGAAGGTTCTCTTGAGTGACTGTGGTTGTGTGAGTGGAACTGCCTACCTTCTGAGAGGCTGAAGGAATCCTAGATTGAGGAAGACCGGGAGCTCGCGTTGGGGAGAGTGACAATCTACTTGAGGGTTGGAAAAGAGGGGGTGCTACTACACCGTAAATGGAGGAGAGAAGAGGCAGATGTGTTGTTGAGAGGGCAAGGGTGATTGGAAGACAGGGGAAGGAGGAGGAGGAGGAAGAGAGGAGAAAGTCAGAAAGATTCTTAGATAAGAACGATGAAAAGCGACTGCTATCCCAACCAAAAGAAAGGTTCCCTGCCCTTGTATGACCAACCTTGTGGATGAATTGTGATTGATGAATGCATGCATGATCGCACATGTACTAGGGGATGAAGGGAGGACTCATGATGGACTAGGGCATGTGTTGACCCACAATATTTTGAAGATCAAAAGGTAGTAGAGCTTCATCAATAGGACCTAGGTGAAGGAAGTCAGTCAATCGAACTCAGGCGTCAGAATTCGAGTCAATTAACCTCAGGCTCAGGGGAAGAATAACACAACCAAGGTAAAAGAACTTTGGTAAAGGAAGTCCAGCAGGAGAACTCGGGTAAAGAAAAAGAACTCAGGCAAAATAACACAGGTAAACGAACTCAGGTAACGGAATCCAGGAAAACTAAACTTGGTGAAAAAAATTGGGAAACGAACTCTGGTAAAAGAACTTACATGTCCTGCATAGAAGGCACAGATCTCGATATCTGGGCCAATCCTGACAGTCTGCTTCTGATCCAGGACAGATACTGCATCCACGCCAAACCCATCCACTGTCAAGCACAGAAACTCCTCTTTGACGCACTGAACTGTGTCATCAATTTAGAATTTATACTTGAAAAAAAAAACAGAGACCGATACAAATATCCCAAGAAGAAAAAGAGATGTCCTGAAGCCCCGAAATCTTGAAGACATCATAAAGATGAAACCAGCTGCTAATCTAAAGTCAAGAGGCCCACACTAAAGGACAAAAAGCATGCTTGCAGTGCACAATGTTTGTGCAGTGTGTGCATGAATGGCACACAGCCTGCACCACACTGATACTCCACTTTTGTTGCGAATGAGCCCGAATGCGATCCAAACAACATTCCCAGAAAAAACGGGAAGAAATGCTCTGAAAATCCGTGAAAAAGGTAAAAGCTCAAGCAGCCTTTGGCTGGGGCCATATCCTAAAATCTTATTTGTTGAATTTGTGAGGACCCAAGGTTTTCCCAGCAGACAACAAAGAATTGGTATGCCCTCGGCTCAGGGCCCAAGTGGTAAGGCTGGATTGGGTCAAGGGTTGGGCCCGGCCAGGCTGTCTGGGACCCAGTTGGGGAAGACCGAAACCGGAAGACTGCGCAAGGCAGTGCCTACTGGCTGGACCGTAGACCGGCCATATATTTAAGGAAGGCCGGGGCAAGTCAAAGTTGTCTTTGTTGGAGGAAGTTTGGCCAACAGACTGCTAGGCTACTTGTGAGCTGCATCAGTGGAAGGAGTGGCTTCAGCCGACAGGCCAGGACCAGCCATAGCTCGGCTGTGAGAGAAGGATGCTGCCAGGCTAACTGGGTGCCGTGCTGAACGGCAGGCAGGGCAGGGCAGCATCCAGTATTAAACCAGCATCAGCCACGGCTGAGAAAGAAGACCGGTGTCATTACAGGTTGGGTGCTGAGGGAAAAAAACGGTAGCAACTTGTGCACCACGGAAAGCAGGTTGGCCGCTGAGGAAGAAGACCGGCGCCATAGCAGATTTGGCCCTGAGGAAGATGATCAGCGCAATAGCCAAGTTGGACACAAGACGGTAGCACTAGACAGGGAGATCTTTGGGGGAAGAGGAAACCTATGGAGAAGTGAAGAGTGGGATGCCACAAAGTACATGGGCTGGTTGGCATTGAGAAGGGCTCCCGCAGAGTACATGGAAGCAGTATGGCACTCTGCCGCAGGACACTCGGTGTGGAATAGGATAGAGAGTAGATGGTCACTTGGGCTGGTGCAGAGACCAGCAAGGGCATAGAACTGTTCTTGCTGTTGTGATTGATTGCTGGAGGCATGAAGGAGGTGCTGCTGTGATCACAAGAGATCAGGGGCAGCAGGAAAAACAGGCAGCTGCATCCATCCTCGAACGAGTATGAAGACAGCCACTTAACGGGTGCATCCAAACTGACAAAGCAGGTGCTCCTGTGGTCACACGAAAGCAGGGGGGGCAGCAAAAGAGGGAGCTTCATTCTCTCTCTCTCTCTCTCTCTCTCTCTCTCTCTCTCTCTCTCTCTCTCTCTCTCTCTCTCTCTCTCTCTCTCTCTCTCTCTC